ACATTTTAAACAAAGTTTAATTTAAGGAACTGCTTCTATCAACACTTATGAAAATTAACAGCCAAGCAATTAGCACTCATGAATTATCCCTTCCCCCATGCTCTCTGCAGCTTCCCTGTTAAAACAGTTTCAGAAATGGTTACTTTCTAACAAGTTAACATCATCAAAGTCACAGTTGTCTATATGAACAAGGAGTGGCTCTGCCTTTTTAAGCACCTGTCAAGGCAAACATTCTCCTTATATTTAGGGTAGAATTTAAGTCAAATAAGAAAGATATTTAACATTTTAGTAAACTCCAAAGCAATTACTGATATGGAACTACTTTCTCACCTGATATTTAAAAAAAAAGAAAGCTATCCCCCCCACCAAAAAATAAAAAATAAAAGAAGTAATTACTTGACTTAAGCTTCAATTTAAAGTTAAAGGTCAAACCCCCCTGGACTTCAACAGACAAACCACCTACCTCCAGTCTGCTACACATCTCGTTTCACGATGCTGCTCTGACCTCCTGATTTTAAAAGCATGTTTTCTCTCACTCTATCCTGTCAACGATCTAAATAAATAAAAAGTGACAGCATCACTGGCCCCCAACTCTTTACAGAGAGAGGAAGAGGCAGCAGTGGGGTATTTGTTGAGTACTCCTATGGCTACATGTCTTGCTAAACAGGTCTTATGTCAATCAGTCCTTATGAGGAAGACACACCTTCTTCATCCCATTCCACAGATGAGGACTGGGACTCCCAGATGTGAAGTAACTAGACTGAGGTTACACCCTAAGTGGAGGAGTCAGGATTCAAACTCAAGTCTTTCCACAAAGTAGGACTGCTCACAAACTAAACTACACTGCTTCTCATTGTTCTAGGTGCTTTATCCTACAGCATTATCCCGTCTGATGCTCTATCAGCCTGCAGGGAAGGAACTCTGTTTTCACAGGTAAAGAAACTGACAGTTTGGAGAGGAAAAAACCTGACAGAGATGACACAACCAGTAATCAGTGCCATTTCTTTGTCAGTAACTGTACTGACAGGAAATGGGCATTTGAACTTTTAACAGTCTATTGATGATAATATTTGCAAACTCAGTTTACCCAAAACAGTGATGACTAGCAAAAGCTTCTCAAGTGATAAGGCATGGAAAGGAAAGGGCTGGGTACTTAAAACATGACTTCACTTGAAACAGGGGGAGGGACAGGACAGCAACCCACATATCCAGGGTTACTTAAATCAGTGCTGAACGTTCAGTGCCCTAGAGCCCACTGCCTCATCACCTCAAAGCAGCTCTCTGTCATACCCAGCATTTCCCACATACAGTAACGTCAGAAGGACTGGCCAAGAAGTTTTCTGATTGTCTCAACCTCTAGAACACAGGTCTGGTTTGCTCATGAAGCTATTCAGAGGTCCTGTTTCCAACAAGCCTGAAGAATTCAGGCAGATGGTTGAGCCTGGTTTTGCCTTATCCAGCTAAGAATTCCCTAAAACCACTTGCAATCTATCCTGGACTTTTTTCACATGATCAGTAAACAGACTTATTAATAATCTATGAATCTAAAACAGGTCACAGACAGCATCACCAATTTGCCTAAGAAGTAATATAAACATAAAAATAAACCTGATCAAATACATTGCCAAAATTACAACAAAGCACTGAGCTAAGTAGATAGCCTTTCCCTCTCAATCGTATGCCTTTAAGAAATTAATCAATCACAATTTAAAAAAAATAAATTATTAACCAACTACAGGAACCAAAAATTATTCAAAAGTGGTCACTTTATTTTAGCACAATAGCCAAAGATGCTTACACTAGAATCACTAAAACCAACAACAATCCAGTTGGCACAAACTGTCAGACAGTAGATGTTCTAGCTTAACTACAATTGTAAAGCCATATCAAAAATAAAATCCTTTTTTCAAATCTAATACTAGCTTAATCTTAAAGAGGATTTCGCAGCAGTTAGTCTCTTGAGGAAATACATAATTAAGTAGTTTTTTAGCATATTTAATTAGACCCCAAACTCTTCCCTGTCCCCTTCTCTCCCCAATTATGTACCATTTGCCCAAGAGACCTAAGCAACTCAGTTAATTATGTAAATAAGGCAAGCGTTATTCCCAAGAAGAGCATTGTGAATATTTGTAGGGGAAAAAACAACATATTTTAGTGGCTTTAACAAACCTTTGGAAAAAAAAAAAAGGACTAGCAAAATACATGGGAAAAACCTTACAATTTGAGGCAAAAAGCAGAGAGTTCAATGACAAGACAGTGAATCATTAAAAGAAGGACATTCATTTCACTTCTTAAATATGAGCTGAATATAAATAAAATAATTTTAAGTTACAACAGCAACAAAAATTTAGTGCTGAACGTCAAATGATTTATGGGAAGAATCAATCTGGAAATTATTAAAGTCGACTCTCCCAGAAAAGGCATTATTATCAAGGGGTTGACATGATCTTAACTCCAGAGGCAGCCATGGTGCTGTTATAACTGCTACAATCCCATTATTATGCAATCACAAAATGCTAATTTGATCATTTTGAGGTGTTATTTGAATAGTCATTTTAATTTCTAGGTTACAAAAAGGCTTGACTCAACTATAATTCTCTATTAATCATTGAGATGTCACTGAATATCATATTGATGCATTTCACAAAGATAAAGAAAGACTAATTTAATATGTACAGTACAATATCCTTCAAATATTAGCCACTTTCATTACATATCTGCCAAATGCATCAATATTAAATAATAGATGAGAACAAGGGTTTAATTGTATTTTAGCAATTGTAATATGTAGGGTAATAATAAAATAGCATCTCATCACAAGATAGACTTATATAAATCTTTCTTAATCAATGTGTAATGGTGACTGCCCCATGCTCACATTCTTTGCTGATTACAAACAGACATGACAAAAGCATTGAGAGCCTTAAGTGTAAACACCTATCTAGCAAAAATTATTCCTTTGTGACTGAGGAAATAGCTTCCTTACATTTTGAAAAAACTTCTCCCTGTTACTTCAAAATTAGGTATCTACTAAGCAGAGATCACAACCTTCTGACAAATTCAAACCTAAGTATTTATAAAAGACTCTAATGGTATGATGAGAATTCTAGAATGCAATACTTTAAAAGATGTGTGCTATTTTGTTGGCATCAAAGCATTATCATATATTAATTATTCCAGCAATTACATCCTCAACAATGAGATGGTTTCAGGCAATGGAAGAAAATAAATTCCAACCATGTAACCTAACTCAGTAACATCTCACATATCTAAACGAATCAACTGTAGCATAGTATTTAAGAAAAAAATCTTCTCCAGTCCAATTGGCCATTTCTAGAGGCTGACATTCTTGTCCCCTAGGGGGACCCTTCCTTCTGTTTGCTGCATTCCACAAGACAGAAGAGGAGAAGGCAGCAGGGGCAGGCTTAAAGAGAAGCTTTACACCAATACAATCCCTAATCTACTAAAATTACTTTCAGAGGTTTTTTGAAGGCTACTCAGAGCACATTAGTATCTTTTTGTTATTTATGCATTTTGTTTCCAGTTCTTGCTCTCCTTTCCCAACATCAATAACCTCACATGCCGATGGCCATATATGCTCACTTAAGCCTATGGAAACATGCTGCATTGTATGAGGTAAAGTGTTTTGAAGAGAAAGCATCTTGCTCAAAGATGACAACTCACAGAAGCAGCATATAACCAGAACTTGAATATGAAAAATGCAAACATAAGCAAAGAGCTGTATGTTTATTAATTGCAATGGTGTTGAAATAAGACAAATTGTACACAACCCCTCCAGGCAATAAGCTATCACTCAGCACCCCTACGCCACTGCCAGACAGCAAACATAATGGCAATAAATATAAAAATCAACTGCTACTGTCTTCTGAAAGAGGCCCAGCTCAGCACAGACACACAGAATGGCAGGGAATAGGGTGGGGGCTGCACATGGAACTATATGTCACCTAAAATAGTGGCCATTTTTCTAAAAGGAAAATAAACAAACTAATATTACAACTGCAAATTGTTAGAACAAACAAAAAAATTGGCTCCTGCATAGCAAGTGTCAAAAGATTCCTTATGATGAAATACTGACAAAAAAAAAAGCAATGGCCTAGAATTCTGAAACGAAGCTCTAACCTTAATAATTCCTGCAGTTATAACACTCAGACAAGACAATGCTGCCTCCCAGAACCAGTTTCAAGGCTTTCCCAGCACAATTAGACCTTGATTAATCACAACTCAACTAACCCAAGCCCTCAAGTATACTTAGTAGATAAAAAAGGGAAAAAAAAATACAGATGTATCTCAGGGCTGGTTTCATTTTAATCCTTCTAAACATATTACTATGAAAACAATGCTAAACCCAATTCAGACCTTTTTATGTCCTCGGACTTAGAAAATATGAGTGACATTCTATAATTACTGAGTCATTTTTTATAACCCTAAATTTAACAATATTATTATTATTATAGTACCAATAACTCCACTCAATTGTGGTTTTATTTAAAGCAGTGATTTTCAACTTTTTTCATCTCATGGCACATATAAACTAATTATAAAAATCCTGCAGCACACCAAAAATTATATTTTTGGCCAGTCTGACAAAAAATAGATTTTTGACTGTTTCACAAAAAAATAGTAATTACCTACGCTTTTTACTCCAAAGTACTTTTTAAAAAACCAGGTGCCTATACTTGTATATAAGAATTTCTGGTACCAAAAATTAACCAGTCAGACTCAACCTTATTATGAGATATAACTAGTAAGATGCAAGTCTATTATATGACCTATGTATTTCTGACACAAGATGGGGCATTCACACTGGATGGATATTCTTGTGTTGACTGTTGACATTTTTCTTTAAATTTGGCAATCTAAGGGAAAAGATGTCAGTGTCCTATTGCATGTTTTAAAAGCTCTGGGGGCATACCAGTGTGGCATGGCACGCCAGTTGAAAATCACTGACTTAAAGAGACAAGAGTTTCATTTATACTTACCTTGCCATCAAATTTGGAATACTCGTTAAAGGGGTTATTCAGCTGCAGAGGGCACTGCTCCAGGCGTACAGATAATATCGACTGCTTTCCAGAACTTGGAGGTTTCTCTTTGAGGGATTTTTTTTCAAACAGTGACTTTAACTCCTGGGCTGTGATACAAGAGGAAGACAAAAACATTTTTGTGATTACACAGAGACAGCCTGTCCACCTTCCCTAAAAAGTCTTCCTTGGAACTTTAAGGAGGGACATAGTCAGGTCTAATATGTGCAAAACACCTCACGTATACTTCACTGTTTGAGCACTGAAAAGCATACAGGTCAGCACTGCCAGCTCAGAAGAACTAGGGTTTAAGGAAGGGCAGAGTCAGACAACCAACAGCACAGCCACCCTGTAAGAATTCACAGCTAGAGGAGCTGGGTTTGGCCCAGCTTTGCCACTAGCAGCTGCATAACACTGGATGATTCACTAAACCCTTCTGGGTTTGTCCAATTAGATAATCTTGAAGATCTCTCCTGGCTCTAATATTATGTGATTTTGGAATTCTAGTTCCTCAGGGTCAAGGGCCATGTCTTAACCCTCTCACACTCCCCAATGACACGTAGACAAAAATCTGGAAGAGAAAGCTGAGGAGGAGGAAAAAGAGAAAGAATATTACAATAGTAGCTGACATTTACTGAGAAAGCCAAAGTATCTCATTTACTCCTCTTAACAAGCCTAAGAGGTAGACACTAGCATTAACTCAATTCTGTCAATGTGGGAACTGAAGCTTAGAATATGTTGATTAGCCCTATGCCATGTACCCAACTAGCCCAACTAGTAAGTAGCAGAGCTAAGATGTGCACCCGGCCAAGGCTCTTAGCCATTAGAAACTAATGAACAAAATAGACTCTCAATAAATTCTGTTGCATGAATCAATGAATAAAATAATTACTGAACGAATTCTGATTCAATTATTCATTAGTAAATCAAGACAAGTTAGTCCTACATCTTCTTGAAGATCATTTAATTCTCTAAATTTAATCTGAATATGATTTAAGCTAGTAGTTCTATGATAAGTACATGGGAGTTCTTATACCTTTTATTTTGTGAATTAGAAAATTTCACACTTTTTTTAAATGAATCAATTTTAGACCTTAAATTCTGCAATGAATAGGTTTAATTCCATTCTCTTCTTCAGTAAAGCCAAACTGAACTGAGAAAAGTCAAACAGAACTCTGAAACAGTCACCTAGAACTCTTATGAGTCTCTATAGACTTTAAGTGGCAAATTCTTTTTTAAAATGTGGCACCCGACTATCCAATTCCAGATTCTGAATGTTTACATACATGTAATCAACAAATATCAAATGTACAGATGAAAACGTTTTGGATTAATGGTAGATTAAGGTGGTATTTTAAATATTAGAGTACTATTCTACTTGTAATCTATTAACAATTTTATTGCTACATGTTGAAAAGGAAAGATCCTTTATTAAATACCTATTATGGGCCAGAACAAGGCAAGGTACCTTTTCACATTGGCCTAACCACAATTCTAAGAGACAGGTTACTACTAGCTCCACAAACAAACTGAGGTACAGCAAATGTAAGTAGCTTACCAAAGTCATACAAGTATTACCAGTAGGGTTAAGTGTGAGGTAATGATTTAACTCTTCCATTCTTAGACTAATTCACCCTTAGCGTTCTCTCCTCAACCTCTGACATTTCCCCTCTTCCCTCCTTGCTTCCTTCATCAGATGAATAGAAACAACCGGAAGAGAACTTCCGTGCGCTCTCGCCTGCACTCCCCCTGCCTTTCCTCCCGTCACTGTGGGTGAACGGCCTATGCCCCTACCTGAGGCCGCCCCTCCTTCGTGCGCTGGTTCCCCGCCCCTCCTGCAGACTCCAGGGCATCGCTCAAGCTATTCTCTCCGTCTCTCTTCCATTTTCAGTTTTTCCCTCTTACTGGTTCGGTCGCATTAGCATATAAAGATACTGAAATACTGCTCATTTTTAAATAAAATCCTCCTCTGATCCCATACTCCCTTCTAGTTACTACCCTATTTTTCTGCTTCTCAAAATGGTGGTCAACATTCTCGCTGTCCAACACCTCGGCTCACAGTCACACAAACCCACTCCGGTCAGGCACCGGGACCCCACCACTCCACCAAAGTGGCTCTCCTCAAGGTGATCAATGATCCCTTTGTTGCTAAATCTATTGGTCAATTTTTAATCCTCATCCTACAAGACCTCTTGCTGGCATTTGACACAATTCATCACTCCTTCCTTTTTGAAACTTTTTTCACTTGGTTCTGGGACTCTATTCTACTGGTTCTCATCCTAGCTTTCCGGCTACCCTGTCTCAAGTCTCCTTGCCAATTCCTTTTCCTCATTTTTTCCTCTAGACTTTGGCATTCCTCAACGCATAGTACTTGGACTTTTTCTTTTCTCTATCTACAGTCATGCCCTTAGTGATCTCGTCCAGCCTTGTTTTGAATATCATTTACAACAGGCAAAATGAAACTGTGGCGATATAAATCAGAACAATTGCCCCTGGAAAGTAACCTCATTAGAAAGGGGTGCAATGGAACTTTCTGGGGTATAGGAATGCTCTACACCTGATTAAGATGCTAGTTACAAAGGTGTATATGTTTGTCAAAAGTCATCAAACTATATATTTAGTATCTCTACCTTTCAATATATGTAAAGCATACCTCAATAAAAAAGTAAAAAGGGAAAGCCTGAAAAATACCCTCTATGTGCTGATAATTCCCAAATGATTATTCCTAGACCTAAATACTCCTTAAAATCACAGATTTACATATTCAACTTTCTATTTGACACCTCCACTGCGATGTCCAATAGGTATCTCAAACTCTGCATGTCCATACCAAACTCCTGGTCTTCCCCCAAACCTGCCCCTCTCACAACCTTCTCCTTCTCAGTTAATGGCAACTCAATGCTGTTAGGCCAAAAGGGCAAAAAAAAAAAGATTAAAAAAAATCTCAAACTGTTCTTAGTAATCATACTGTTTGTAATGACACTGGTATTTCTATTGTGGAATCAAGTTTTCACTGTAAGAGAAAACATACGTAAACATAAAATTTTTTTTAAAAATTAAGTGAACACTTTGTAATCCTAAACTGAATTGAAATTATCAACATTAACTCACAATGTATTTCCTCTTTAAAAAAAAAAATTTTTTTTAACCCTATGTCCTGAAAAGGCTGACAAGGTAGAAAAACACAGATTGTGGTCTCTTAATGCAATTGACCAATAGAAAAACCAAGGCTCTTTGGAGAAATGGCTGATTCCCGATTTGGAGGAAGGAATGTATAAAAGGAGTCTCGAACATCTTGTCATACAAGAATGCAAGGGAGCTATTAAGGATTACTGAATTTGTGTCCAAAAAAACTAGAAGCCAATGTGAAGGGACTCACTATACAAAGGACAATTTTAGCATCAAAAAAACCCCCAAACTGTAATGAATTGAAAAATACAAAATATGCTTTAAAAACTCATGAGTTCATAAAGATACAAAGGGAAAAAACCTTCATTGTTCATCTAAATAGGATGCTAGAGAACTTTTAATTTTGAAAACTATTAGCAAAGGGAAAGAATCAGCATTCATCCTGTCTTTACTGCAAGATAACCAAGTAATAAGAGTAGGGAAACTTCTTCCTTATATAAAACAAATTAATAAATGAAGAAAGACTGATGGAATCAGAAATCACCATTTTGCAACTCTTAATGAAATAATGCATTAGGTAAGGTCCATCAATGGCCACAAAAATCACTGGATGGAAAGCTGATGGGAGTAACTTCATAAGGGATAGATGATACCCGATTCTACCACCAATCTTCTCACAAAAAAGACAAAATTCCATGCTTCCTAATGTGAGGCAATAGGAAATACAGATCAGCCTGCACAAAATATTCTTACCAAAAATCAAACTTCAATCTGAGGAAGTTTCTATTAACTACCAGATATAAAATAAAAAGGACAGAGGAACATATTAAATAAGATCATGGGGATATGATTAGCAAAATCCAGAATGTAGAAAATTCTATAGGACAAAGGACCCAGTTTCTTCAACTAATAAATTACAAGGGAAAAAAGTGAAGGAGAGTCTATGGATTAAAAAGGAAATGGGTCATGTTAACCAAAAGTAATATGTGGACCTTTGATCTAGACCTGAACAAATGAGCTGGGGGAAAAAAAAAGGAAAACAAACATTGGAGACAACCATGGAAATGTTTGATAATATTAAAGAATTCCTGATAGGTATCTGGAGAGTGGTGGAATTGCAGTTTTCTTGTATGTTTAAAAAAAACATGTATTTAAAGATAAAATTATTTAATAGCTGGGGTTTGCTTAAAAGTAACCTGGGAGGGGAGGGGAGGTGAATGTATGACACAATGCTGGCCAGACACTGACTGCTGAAGCTGGATGATGGTTGTGTGGGGGTTCATTATGCCATTACGCCATTCTCTCTTTAGTAAATGTTTGAAATTTTCTATAATAAAAAATTGTACTAAAGGAAATTTAAGCTAGAAATTAAAAAAAAATCATATAATTTCTCTGATCAAATCACCTCACCCAGAGTAAATATTAAATTCCTTACCAGATCTTCCATGACCAAGTTTTCCTCTGATCCCACTTTTCCCTTACTTACTCTACACCAAACAATAAGCATCCTTCTTTGCTATTCTTTTAATATATCAGGCATACTTCTGTCGCAGAACCTTTTCATTTGCTATTCTGTTGTGTTAGAATACTCACCTCCCAATATCTGCCTAGCTCACTCCCTTCACTTACTTCAGATCTCTGCTTAATCATTCCCTTCCTAATGAGTCCTTTCTTGATCACTCTATATAAAATAGCAAAATCCCCTGCCTAATATTCTTTATGCCACTTATCCCATTCTGACATGCTATGTTTGTCTGAGGTCTATTTCCCCCATGAACTACCGAGGGCAGGGAATTTTTCTTATTCAATGCTCTATCTTCTAGGCCTACAACACTGCCTAGCTGTCTTTGCATACTTAATGGAGCTTAACGAGTACTTGTTGAATGAATAAATCTGGACCAGAGAGGTAAAAAAAGTAGTTGCGAGGACAGGGAATAGGTCTGGAGGAGCAGGGAGAGAGCAGATGGGCACAAAGCAAAGATAAAATGGGGGAAGACATAAGAGCACTTCCTCCTAATTCCAAGCCATTCATAAGGTATAGCTGTACTTCTTGAGTTGTTCAACTTCAAGTTGCTCTTCAACTTCACTTGCTTTTGTTATTTGCAACTGAGAAATCCTAACCAATATAAACAGTTGGAAGACCCCAAAAACTTAAAACTGAAAAAACCATAGCCTAAAAATTTAATTATCAGGTTTATGAGAAAGCACATACTCTAGCATCCAGAAAGATGAGCATGCATATTAGAACTAATAAGCGTTCACTGAATGGCTGGATACAAAACAGATATATAAAAATAGGCTTCTTTATAAGAACAGTAAGAAAGTTATGGGGAAGAAGAGGCTATTTACAACGCTAACATGAAATACAAAACATCTAGAAATAATCTTAATAAGAAATGTAAAGCCCTGGCCGGTGTGGCTCTCAGTGGTTTGGGCACTAGCCTGTGAACCAAAGGTCGCTGGTTCGATTTCTGGTCAAGGCCCGTGCCTGGGTTGTGGGCCAAGACGCATCCCACTGACGTTTCTCTCACACATTCATGTTTCTCTCTCTCTCTTTCTCCCTTCCACTCTCTCTAAAAATAAATAAAATTTGAAAAATAAAAACTGTAAAAGTGCAGGAACAGTACAGAGACAACACCAAACATTGCATTTATGTAATATCTCCATATGCAAAAAATACAAGAGATTATAGGAGGTATGATTAGAATTTAAAAAAAATATATACCCACATATATAAAATCTGAATACATCAATGTTAACAATAGTAGTTCCTATGAATGAGAGATTATTGGTAGCTTATTTTCATTTTTATATTGTTTTCAGATTTTCTATTATTTTTTTTTTAAATAAAGAGGCTTTGGTAACTTTCCTGAACCACGGCCACAGCTGACACACAGAGAAGAAAAGATATAAGGAACAGCAGATACTCCTCAATACCCAAAGTGTTGGGAACAGCCCCTTTGTGGCTACAGTATGGGAGAGAACACAGCAGAGAGGAAAGGCTAGCGTCTTGGACATCAGACTGGCCAGGAGAAGAATTCTGGCTTTGCCAATTACTACTTGTTAAGTATGTGATTTAGAAAAGTTACTTAGCTTCTGGGCTCCAATTTTTTTCACCTAGCGTATAGAAATATTAACAGCTAATTTGTTATATTTGCATGAAGATGACGCAAACTTAGTGGATGGTATGTGATATACCAGTAATCCTCAGAGCCCAGAGAAGTTCTGAAACATATAGATTTATGGACTCCAACCTCTAACTACTGAATCAGGAATTCCACAGGTAGGGCCCAGAAATCTATACAGGATGTCATTATAACATGCACTTTTGGATGTGTTTCTGACTTTTATGCAGCCACTACATCTGGGAACTGTTGTTTTAAAAGTTAAAGAAAACTTCAGAAATATTCATAAATATTTGATATAAACTACATTATTGTTTTGAGTTGTTATTTAACGTTCTGTATAAATAGCTTTGTCTTCCAAATAGACTTCAAACTTCTTGAGGACAGGAATCATGTATCTTACACAAGCACTTGGCAGGATAGAATTACTATGCACACAGAAGTCATGGAAAAAATACTTGTTAAATGAGTCAATGAGTAAGAGTAACAGCTAATTTTGTAAAGAGTATACCAAAACCATTTAAAAACAATAAAATTAAAAATATTGGGACCTTGATTTGACACTATTCCTGATAAAGCTTTCTTCTGATAACCATCTTCACATTTACTCATGCAGTTTTGGTTATGGAAATACTAAAAGGATCTTACTCTAAGGTATTTCATTTATCATGAGGTCTCACGGCATATGGATCAGTAAGTTCATAAAGAACTTCGGGGTATGGACCAGATGGCTTTTAAGATCCCTTCCCAACTCATCTATTAAAAGGCTCCATTTATGCTGTTTCGAAGGACAGGGGGCATTAGTCAGAATACCTGTGGAAGAATGTTCCCGTGGAGGTCATCATATTTATAATGATAATTCTTCTAGTGGGGAATGATACAAAATGAAGATAAGAAAAGCAGGTGAAAGGATTTTAACAAAACATAAATAGCAAAAATAATGAAGAAATAATTAACTAACAAAATTTCTTAATTAAGATCAAAGGATCCTGGTCATGGCATTTCTTGCCAAAAGAGAGTATATGTTTGAGGGATGTATGAAAATGCACTGGCTGCTCAGTCTACCAAGGAGATATTCAGTGGACTGCTGGCTCTACTTTTCTAACACGCTTCAGGACACCAGAAAGCCAAGCTGTGAGAATGATGGAACCCAGCTCAACAGAGAATTCAAAGGCATTCCTTTGTGCACATTCCTTTGTGCATTTAGGTTCACTCTAAATGTCAGGCGTAGCCACCAGGTAGGGTACTGGTCTGGCAAGAATCAAGGTCAACATTTCAAAGCATAAACAGGCAGATTAGGAGCTTTTCCAGAAATAAGATCACAGGACCAATTATTGAAATCTGTGAGAGACAAAAATAAGAGGAAAGAAAACTGAGGGAGAAATACTCATATAAAATGGATAATGTAGTTAAATGAAAGTAAAAAGGGGACTATTTCTCCAATATAGTCTGTGAAACACTAAATAGATGTTAAAGTAGATTAAACTTTAAGGGGTGAATGGGAGATATATCAAAATTTGTTATATGTATCTAATTATTACATTACCAGATATATCAAAATTTAAGTTGAACTTATTTCTCACAGTTTAAAAGGGATTAATATTTGAGGCATTCTATTCATCCTATTATTTACTTATAATTTTTTAAGATAAGGAAGTGAAGAAGACAAAACAAAGGGCAGCTGGAGAGATGGGCTTAGATAAACTGACTCTATTCATTAAAAAGAGATTAAGAGAAAAAGCATTAACACATAAAAAAGTCAACAATATAAATCAGATAAAGGTTTTTCAGTTTGTGCCAAGTATAACAGAGAGTGGTATTAACTGGTTCAACGAAAAAGACCAGGCCCTAGCCCATGTGTCTCAGTTGATTGAAGCATCATCCCATAGACCAAAGGGTCACAGGTTCAATTTCTGGTCAAGGCACATGCCTAGGTAGTGGGTTTGATCCCCAGTTGGGGCATATACGAAAATACAACAGATCGATGGTTCTCTCTCACGTTAATGTCTATCTGTCTGTCTGTCTCTTCCCCCCTTCCACTCTCTCTAAAAGCAATACAGAAATATCCTTGGGAGAGGGTTATAAAAAAAAAACCAAAACCCCCAGCCTAGAGAGATTTTTAACATATCTGGAAGAATATAGCACTGGCCAGGTAGCTCAGTTGGTGAGAATGTCATTCTGATACACCAGGGTTGTAGGTTTGATTCCCTGTTCAGGGCACACACAAGAATCAACCAATGAATGCATAAATAAATCAATGTTACCAAAAAAAGGAGAAGAATACACAGGAAGTCAAAGAAATGAGATGTAAAAAAAGGGGGATTTCAGGTTCTACATAATTATCATTTAGAAGCAGCCATTAAGAAAATCAGACCCACTGAGCACTCAGGTTACAATCATAGTAGGAGAAAGCAATAACTATTTTATATAATATAGTTTAGCAGAAAGAGATTGGCCTTTAGATGCAGACAGTGCTAGATACAAAACATGGCTCTATATTGCACTACCACTTCCTAGCCTTGTAACTTTATCAAGTTTAATCTCTCAGAGCCCCGGTGTCATCTGTCTCTTCTAATCAATGATACGTACAACTTATAAGATTGGTGCATTGGAGGTAATGCATGTAAAGTGCTTAGAACAGCACTAGACAGGTGCTGATGTTAATATAATAGTCATTAATGTTGTTAGTTTTATAATAGTATGTAGCAACGGAACCGGTCAACAAAAATTTATTGAACATCTATTAAATGCCAGGGTGGCACTGGGAGGTGCTGGAAGACACAAAAGACCGCAGATATTTCTTTGAAAAGAGAAAAAAAGAGAGTATCTAAGAAACATAAACACTTGAAAATATTTTAATATCACTTTATTTTGAATTTTTTTTAAAAAGTCTTCCCTTCTTACTGAGATTGACGTTTTGAAAATATATAATATGGCCAGCTTCTTAATATACTTATCATATGAACATATACTGAAAATGCTAATAATATCAGTAACATAATGGTTTTAAGGTAAAGGAAGACAATTAGCAATATGCAAGAAAGACTGTTATTGGGGCCACTAGTAAGGCAAGGTAGAGTCTAGGTTGGAACTGCCAGGAGAACTCTATAGCCAAAAGGCCTATCTAAATCATAGGTACTTCTAGGCTGTAAGAACAAGGCACTGGCATAACAGTTTGTACAATACATGCCAGCATTGTCCACATCAACTCCAGTGACCCAGAACAAAGAGTGGCCAAAAAGATAAAACCCAAAGAACACCCAGCTTCAGAGGACCACGGCACCCAAGTGAAAGAGTTCAAAGTTCAAAATACAAGAGGTATCTGCCCAGAGGATTAAAAAAATGATTTAAAAATAAAACCTGTTACATAATAATATACACTAAATATATAAATCTCAAGATAACAATTAAAATTATTTCCATTTACCTGATTGCTTAGAATTTCTTTCTTTCCACTGAATATTTTTGCATTTGATCTGGTTTTGTCTCTCTTTTCGAAGCCGTTCTAATCTTTGAGCTTGAAAAGAAATATTATAACTATAAGTTTGTCAATGAAAGTTTACTATAAACAAAGACATAATTAACTACCTTCATATGAATAAAGATGTTTTATATTGCATATGTAGGGGAAAAGTCATAAAATTTTAAAGGTGGCACCCCTGAAAAGCAAATACCAACAAAAACATGAAAATATTCTTGATTTATAATTGAAATTAGAGGATATAAAACATTAATAGAGATCATAAAGATAGTATTAACATGGAAGAGAATAATAAAATGTGAAAACTTCTGTGATTAATATGACATTTCATTATATAAATCATTAATAACGGTCTTAAAGGAATTTTAATGCACAAATGAACTGAAGTGAATATTACATTACAGGAATAAAATTACTGTTATGAATTACTCTACCCGTTTCAAAAATTAAAGATAAATGAACTCAGACTAGACTATTAAAGTTTTAAATATAAAATCCTTTATCTAAAAATCATGAAAATTATAAAATGTCAAAGCTATATAAATTAGCATAGCTTTTTTTCAGTGGGCTGAAACAGTTTATAGGTAGTAAAATAAATGATTTGTATCTTTGTAACATTAGTCAAATCTTAAAAAGAACAATTTTTCTTATACAAAATTTTGAGTTAATGCTGAAAGAATTAAAAAGCAAATTCCTTGGTCACAGGACACCCTACAATCTTGATTATTAGCATCTAAGTGCTATCTTAAGAAAATTCCAACAACAATAACAAAGTATCACCTAAAATTATGCATTTGTGATTATGTTACCACAGGCTGATCAACCTTCAAAAATCAGGTGAACCAATCTTTTAAATAAATATTGTCCAGATACATTAACAACTGCTGCATAAGGAGACCATAATGAAAAAGAAAGTCACAATTAATGCCATCACTTGAAATTAGTCTCCTCTTGCACTTCCTATCTTGGCACAATGCTAACAAAAAATAAAGTAACCAAGTAATTTCTCTTTCAAGGTAGGATGTCATACACTTCTGCCTTAGCACTGTGGTAGGGACACACAAACTAATCTTGCCAGAAATTTAAACTATGCTGGCGAAAGCCTTCTGACAATGTCACTATATCTAACCAAATCCTACTCCATTCAATTGCAAATAATAAACGTGAAGGGTAAAGCCAAAGTAATATAATCATGAAGCTCTCAATTGAGCAGCATTCTCCTACTGAAATCCATTCAACCTGTCATATAAGATATCATCTCAATAACCTACAAGGAAGTCAGTTTCAACTAGAGAACTGAGAATCAATGGTTCTAAATTATATTCAACCCTTCACTCAAGTCCTATTTTGATAAAAGTTCCTTTAGATACTAGAAAATGCTATTAATTATTTTCATCATGAGAACAAATTATTCTTTGTGGATGTCACAGAATGCTAAATTCTGAACCAAAAACTTAACATGCCTTTCCCTGTAAATTGTATCCTGCTCTACCTGCAGTCTCCTTCAAGTACATTTTACATTTGAAACATGAAAATAAACATATAAATATTTTCAATGTTCTACTATATCTCCTGCTATTACTTTTCCTAGGAGTTAGCAGGCTTACTGATACTGATTAGATTGTATTTTCTGATTAGCCCTGCCTCTCCCAAAAATCTCTTAGAATACCCCTTCATAGTAGAACTACATTGCATATTCTAAATAACTTATCTAAGTAAAGTCCTTGGTTCATCACATTTCCCTTGAAATGGTTTAAAAAAAAACAAAAACAAAACCAAAAACAAAAACCAGAAAATGGGCAATGATAAGCCTTTAAAAGCTAATGACTAAATATTTATTTATTTATTTATTTATTTAGTCAAAGATAGAGAGAGAGAGAGAGAGATATATATTTGGTTTGCAGGCTGCTGCTCAGTGGATTGAGTGCCAGCCTGCAAACCAAAGGATCGCCAGCTCAATTCCCAGTCGGTGCACATGCCTGGGTTGCGGGCCAGGTCCCCAGTGGTGGGCACGCAAGAGGCAACCATACACTGATGCTTCTCTCCCTTTCTCCCTCCCTTCTCCTCTCTCTAAAAAATAAATGGATAAAATATTTAAAAATAAAAAATAAAAATAAAAATAAAAAAACATTAAAAATATATATATATACACACACACTCCCCAAAATTGAGCACTTTCAAGCCACAATGATCAAAGTGCAGAGATCAACTTAAGAAAATAAAGGTAATGGATCGAAAACAGGAGCACCTTTTCTATCTCACCCGCAATGTAGCAATTCCTATTAAAAGCAGCCCTAATAAATATTCAGCTGTCTCCCTCTAATCCCCCAACCTTCACAATTCCTCCAGGGGCAAGAACTGTCTCAGGCAGCAGCCCTCCTTGGCTGGCCAGCTGCCTGTGTAAAAGGTTCTGTATAGTGTCAACCTGAAATCTGCCTCCAGCTAGTCTACCTACTGCGGACTCATGTTTCTCTGTTGAAGATATTCAAATCCATGTCCCTTTCTATAGACTTTTTAGAAACAGAACATCCAACATGCCTCACATAGCCAACTCTTTCACTAGTCCTCTTCTGTCTGCTTTCTCACTCCTCTTTTCTGTCTAGTAGCATCCTTCCAGAGTCTCTCCCCTTTCAGTCGTGGAGATGGACATATTGCTTAGACTCACTCGTGGTGTTCACACAACCATGTTCCTGTTGGTACACAGAGACTTTCCCATTAAACCTAATCCAACATTATGCATTATTCTGTAAGATTGTTTACTGATTTAAAGCTCAGAAGACATGACTAAAATGAAATGTTTACCTGTATTTGAGCGTCTTCTAATACCAAAGTCCCAACTTGAGGTAATATCGACTGACTGGGCGTATACATAGCCCTGAGTCTCACCATTGCTTCCCTGAATTTCTGACCCACTGTCTCCAGGCATTGAAGGAGGATGAATCTTCTCTAGGTCAACATCATGATCAATGAGAACCATCTCACACATTCCTGTGTCATCACTGGTCACATGTGACTGTCGAATATGAGCTAGAATGATAGTTGGATTGTCCAAGAAGGCCATCCTTTCTGTGGGCCAATTTCCTTAAAAGGCTATTTTCTCCTCTTCATATTGTTTCACAGGCTCACCTACCTAGAAACATGATGTACACAGCAATATTTAAGAATAAGGCAGAAAACGACTGAATCATTTTTCAAACAAATTCAGAGTGTAAATGCTACCCTGAAAAATCAACATTTACCCCTGTACCTAGGAGCTTAAAAGGATTAAGCCTAGGCTGAAAGGAAATTCTTATAAGCAGTAGGGGCTAAGGTTCTCATCAATGAGATCTCCATGGTATCAAAAGATGGCTTGCTCTCTTGCAAAACAAATAATAATAACCCCTCAGTCAGTCCACTCAAAGCGTGTAACTACTGTTAAAACAATAAACTTTCTTTTCTTTCTCCTTTCATTCCATGCAGTCTTCTCATTACTATATAAGGTGATAAAGGAACAAGTTGTATTTTCCTCAAAAGATGTGCTAAAGTATGAAACTACATTTCTTCAGCTTACATTCCTCCCACCCCCGCCCTATAGTTGTGAAGTATCTAAAACAGCACAAGCAATGCTCTCTGAGTTGCTAGAAATTTTACAAAAATGTACCACCGAAGTAATTTTGTTCAATAAATATATTTTCCTTTCTTCTGATTTAAGATAGTATTGTGCTTTAAAAATAAAACTTATTAATCAAACTTGTCTGTTACCAGATTAATTTCTTATTTTAGAAACCTAATTATAAGAACTGCTTCCAGAATCCTGTTAAAACTGCAATGCTGTTTTTTCTGGGAACAAGATGGTACCTCCTCAGTTAAATGGAAATACTCAACAAAGAAAATATTACAGAAGAGTGGGAAAGAATCTAAGGCTCTACAGGCAAAACTGGGTTTCAGTCCTGACACTATTACTTGCTAACTATGTGATCTTGGTCAAAATAGCATAAACTTCTTTAAGCCTGTGTTTTCTTCCTTCACTTATAAAATGAGAGTCTCATACAGGAGATCACGCAGATAAAGTGCTCAAAAGAGTACCTAGCACATAATTAAACAGTAGCTGCTATGAATGATGATGATGATGATGGTAAAAATATCATTACCAATTTTAGCTTTCAATTTTTGTTCCAAGTAATTCTAAAAAAGAAAATCAAGAATTTGCCCTTCTTTAGTAAGTTCACAGAAGGTAAAATAAGCATGTGCTTCCTTTGTGACAGAGGACACTGCAGGTCATCTGAGTCACCTCCCTGCTCCTCTAAAATCCTTACGAAGTACAAGGATGTGAAAGCTGGGTTGAATATGTTCCTTCCAACAGTCCCAGAATTTATTTCTAGAAAGACCTATAACACCAGATTTCCTTGTCATTTGTTTCTTCTAGAAGTGGGGGAAATCTAGTTAACAAATCATTATAACTTATTCGGGTTTTAAAACATATTGTCTGGTAACATTCTATTGACATCATTTGATGGATCTTAAAAATATGGAGATTAAGAGAAAGTTTAACTGAGGAGCATCTCTAACCAAGTGAATTATATTAACCTTAGTTGTTTTCCTTTAAATATATTCACTGAGTACTTATTTTACATGGAGGTTAATGGGAACTGCACAGGAACTGCAGAGGTGAGTAAGGCTGCCCTGTATCACAAGTGTATACCCTACTATAGGCCTAAGGTCACTCTGACTATAATGGGAGTCTTCTAAGTGTCACGTTTCTGAGGCATTTAGTCCCAGAAATGTTAATGTCAGCCCATCGCTGTATTAATCAAAAATACATGACAGATTTAAAGGAGAGCATTTAAATTTCACAAATAAAAATAAAAACTTCTTATATAACCACAAAAAGATGTATACAACCACAGAGTTACATATAAGGGAGAACACCTGTTCTGTAACAGAATCACAGGGTCACAGCCTGTACTGCAAACACCTTCATAGCAATCACAGTAAGTGGCAGCTAGTTGCTGGCAAGAGGGACACGTGCTTTCAACTTCATACTGAATAGTTCTGTCTTGCAAAAACATGCGCTTCAGTGAGGAACCACACATTTAGCGGGTGTTCTGGCACTAAAAAGTCAAAGGGCAAAACAACAGAAGTATATTGAAGTACTCGCAATAGAATCTTTTCAAGGAAAATAGATTCAGTCCATCACCTCTTACGAAGGAAAGAGTTATGGGCAGGCACACACCAACTCCCTAACTTTATCCTTAGTGAACAGAGGCCTTAAAACACCCCAATGTGAGCAGATATTTTCTCTATGAATACATTATGACTTCATACAATGAAGAATCTGTACAATTCACTCAACAAATATGCATTCAATACCAGCTCAGAGAGGGAACTCCCCACAGGACAGCCGGAACTGTGCTTCCCACCTCCTGTGACAAGGGCCTGAGGGTTCCGACTGGAAGTCCCTCAAGGACTGGGGCTATACCAACACACCCCTTCTGGTAACAAAGGATTTTACACAGGGCAGGAATTCAAACAGTGCTGCTGCCTGACTTCCAAGGGACTACAGAATTCTGTTGTGAAGAGTAAACATATATGGGCATGTCACGAGGAGTAGGTTCGATTATAAAGAGAGATTGTCTCTTTTCCATTAATAAAGATCAAGAGCTTCTCTTCAATGTGCCCTTCAAAACTGTCACCTTCCAACTACTATTCCAACACTACTTTTCAAAACCAAATAATGTGTTTTAAATCATTTTAAGAGCAGCAAATTACCATTTGAAGGTAGATTTAATTGCTAAAACAAAGATAAAAACAAGTTATTTTCTCTGATCAACTGTGCAAAAACAAAAGATACTTAAAACCTAAGTTGGCAGGGGTTCAGAACAATGGGACTGTTTAGAGGTTAATTTGGGAAGATGGAAAAGTTCTGTAGATAGATGGGGCTGATGGTTACACAACAAAGTGAATGTACTTAATGCCACTGAACTGCATGCTCGAAAATGGTTAAAATGGTAAATTTTGTTATATATACTTTTAAATTTTTTGTTTTAATCCTTACCAGAGGAAATGTTTATTGATTTATAGAGAGAGAAGAAGGGGAGGAGAAATAGAGATAAAAACATTGATGTGAGATATAAACATCGATCAGTTACCTCCCATATGTGCCCTAAGTGGGGATCGAACCTGCAACTTTTTGGTATACGGGATGACACTCCAACCGACTGGGCCACCCAGCCAGGGCAGTTTTTAAATTTTTTTAAAAAGGTCTACGGAGTACCAGATTAAACAAAATTAAATGTGTTCTTCCTGCTGTTTATAGCACTTTTTCAAAGCTTCTAAACCATTAATGCATATATTTGAAGATGCAAGAGTAAGGAATCTAGTAACACAACATATTCCAAATCCCAAACTTGTTTGATTCCTAAATTTTTTCCTCTGTGAAAACCAAGATAAATTGATGTAAAATCGTTGCAAAGACCATCATTTAGAAATGCTGCTCTGTACTTTCACAAACACTATTTCTCTAGGCCTTGAATGACTTTCCTGGATGTCACCAATCTTTGACTCCGACAGAGCTGGTCTTTTTTTTATACCTTTAGGCTATGGGCTTAACAGTAATTTCAGGCTCTAGGAGGCTCATTCCGCTAAGATATCCTACCCTTCACAGGTTCTCCCACTTTTTAACTTCAGGTTCCTCAAAACATACAGATTTGTTTTACCAAAAGTGGAAGCAATGGGGACATGATGCAGATTAGGAGAATGGTAAGACATGTTCCAAAATGGCATAACCATTTTTAATGTACTGGGTGGGTCTCCTTAATATTTATTAAGTTCCTACTATGTGCTAAGTGTGGTTCCAGGTACAATTTGGATGGTATTACCACTTCACATAACCTTTTGTGTTCATTAAGGGTCACGTAACTTGCCTGTGGTAACTTACATGATCTGCCCTCATGTAAGGCAACTGCCCTCAACAGGGAAGGACATATTTAGTAGGTTTTAATGGGCATCGAGTCTCAATACAAATATACTTTAAATAATAACTTTATACACATACACCCTTCAAACTTTATTTGAAAGAGCAGATGAGAAAGTGCCAAAGGGGAAGTAACTCATAATGAATCCATAAGCCAGTACATGCCATCAGATCTTGTACATTTCCTATAGGCAGACTGCAGAATCTCAGAAGCAAAAAGCAATTATAGCTAACTTTAACTTACTACAAAATCTACATCTGTTCTTTCCTTTTTACATGGATTAATTCATTTAACACTCAAAATAATCTTTTAAGATAGTCACTATTTTTATCCCCATTTTACAGATGAAAACACTGAAAGGCTAAGAACTGCCAAAAGCCAGATGGCTAACAAGAACAAGAATCAAATCCTAAAACTTGGGCTCTTAACCCCTATACAGCCTCTCAGAACAAAGAGAAACAAAGAATTGTAATAGTCATAATATACACAATTTTTAAAAATCCTGACATTGAGCTCTTTGAGCTCTGGGGCCTGTGAGAAATTTTTTCCATGGGTTTTTGTGAAAGATATAAGGCAGCAAATGTGTTAGACAGTGGACTAGACTCTTAGCCTCCCCTCTGCTAATGCAACACAGAGCAACACAGTGTACAACAGCAAGAAATAAACAGCACACATAATGGTTGCTCAAATATGAAAGTCACAACATTTTACACATGAAAGATACTTTGGAGATCATCTATTTGTTGACCGGAAACCACAGAGATAAGGGTGTACTTTAAATTCTCAGTTAGGTCTAAGTACCTTTTTGAAAATCGCTAGAGATTTATGCAACTTCAGCTACAAAGGCCATACCTGTTTCTTTAAGTAACATCCAACATAAGCAAATGGGCCCTCCCTACACTTGTATTCTCCCTAAGACCTGAAATGGGCAGCTACATGACTTCAAGTGCTCGAGTTCAGACAACCGTTAAAAGGAAATTCCTTTTCCTGAACTTTCAAACCACTCCACACACTCACTTTTCTCTGCCAGAGACTTCAGGTCCCCTCACTCGCAATCTGTGAAAACTTCTCTGAATAAGTAACAGCCCGAGGCTTCTCAAAGGTCTGCAAATTCCCAATCAAAAATTACTGCTGTCCCATCAATGTGTCATATAAATGTTGGCATGTTAATTGTGTATTTATAATATTGTTAATGGTTAGTTAATTTACCTCCCACACTATTATTGTACTTGAAATGATTTAACGTCTGCTGAGGGAGTTAACAACATGTAACAACAGATGCGAGATTTTTATTTTTTTACCTTTCCACACTGTGCCCCGACTTCATGCTGTTAGCATTAAGCAAGTTAAATGTGATTCCTATACAGGATTCCTTAAGGGTGTTATAGAAACTCTACATTTATTTGGCAAAACAAGGAATGATCACAAGTTAGGAAAACAAAAGCCTTTTTATTATATGCAAAATCTTCCATTTATAAAAACCAAAAGATCCAGTTTTAACTATGATTTTAATAGTCTTTGATTTAGTTAAAGTTCAGAATTCATACCTCCTGGAATTTGAAAATAATTGAAATGACCATTAAAATAAAATGTACTTTATTGCTTTTAAATCTATTTTTCTAACTCTCTCCAATTTAACTCTAAATTAAATCTTCATTTTTTAAACCAGCAAAAATTAAGCTTTTTTTCTCCCCTCGGGGAATTAAAATCTCCTCCATGTGAATATGCCTAATATCATTAAACAGTAAATAGAGAGATCCTCTCTTTGGAGTTTAAATTTTCCTTTCACATTTTTATTTCTATAAATTTTGACTACAGTCACTTAGTAAACTATATAAAAATAACAGAAATGTTTCTATCTTCTTTTGAACATTATGGGATTCATTCACTAAACATCACTGAGAGCTGGGCACTGGAAATCCTACAAAAACAGTATATGAACACTGGTGTGTACCCTTCCAGAGGCTTACAAACTTCTGCAGATAAGCTATGTGCTATACTGACGTAACAGCAACATAAGGCAGTACATACTAACCACCAAATGAGACCCAAAGACAATACGTTTTCCAAGAGACAAGAAAATTACAGAAGGCTTCAGGAAAAGGGTCCCATTTAAGGATGGCTAAGCTTTCATTAGACAGAATCACAAAGAAAACAGTAATAGGTGACATTTACTGAGCTCTTACTATCAGCTGTACTTTTCAAACACCAACAAACTCTTTCCTTACAATCACCACAGGGTATAGGTATTAATATTATCTCCATTTTATGGGTTAAAAAAAAATTAAGGCTTCAACGAATTAAGTAACTTGCTCAAGGTCACATGGTGGATTTCTAAAAGGCCAGTCTTTGCAGCTCCTCCCATCAGGAAGAGGTGGAGTCTATCTCCCCACAGCTAGAGTCTGGGCTCACACTGTGATGTGCTTTGAGGAACAGAATGTAGTGGAAGTAATGCTGTGAGACTTCTGAACCTTGGCCACAGGAGAACTTACAGCTTCTGTTGTTGCCTTTGGAAAATATTTGAATCATGGGGAGAAGCCTGAGGTGAACAACTGCATGGAGAGGCTCAGGTGTCATTCCGGCTTTCCTTGCTGAGGCTTCCTGATGAGTGACTAAGGACATCTGGGACTGGCCAGACCCCCACCAACCTACCAGAGCAGGTCTTCTGCCCTGACAAGTATCTCCTTTGGACAAAGGGGCACTAGCCCTTGATTTTTCTTTTCTTGTATCACTAAGCTCCACTTAAAATGTTTCTGGATCTTACCATCCGCCAAAATCCAGTTAAAGGAAGCCTGGCACAGTACACTGCCTCTCAAACTTGTCCACGTACACACCTAAAGGGCAGAGGAGAGTGACCATGAATCAAGATATGACAGAACCTAGGGGAAGCCACCTAAAGCATCATACTATAAAAAACCTACTTTAGAATTCATTCATATTTGCATTCTGTCCTATAATATAACAAACCTGTATTTGTTTTAATAGAAAAAATGTTTTAGTTCTGAATGTATCACTAAGACTGATACTCCAAGAAGATGTGCCATGCTTACCCTGTGGCTTCTAATACCTCCTGGCACATACTGGGATTCTCATAATCCTAGTTTGAACAAGAGGGTCTAGTGGAAAAACATAGGCTTTGGTGTCAGAAATATCTAATTTTGTGATGACAAAATAGATAATTCAAGACCTAATTTTTGCTCAAAATGTATTTCTATGACAAGTACAAAGAACAACTGGCCCTGGCTGGTGTGGCTCAATAGAATGGGTGTTGTACGGCAAACCAAAAGGTCACTGGTTCAATTCCCAGTCAGAACACAGGCCTGGGTTGTGGGCCAGGTTCCCGGTTGGGGGAGGGGAAGAGGCAACCTGTCGCTGTTGCTCTGGCACATCAATGTTTCTCTCCCTCTCTCTCCTCTTACTCCCTCTAAGAATAAATAAAATCTTTTTTTTTTAAAAAAAACAACTGTAATTACTAACACCAAACTAAATATAAAGTTCTAAACACAAGTATGATCTCTATTATTATACAGCTGTTACAAAACAATCTGCATTTTCAAAGTGTTTTGAAATACCATTTATTAGCAGTGATAGCTGTAAAACTTAAGGCAACCTAACCACCCACCACCCCTAAAACTCCAAACCTGCCAACATGTCTGTTAAATGTTTCTGTTAAAACAAATCTGTTAATTTGGTATAGTGTAGCCATAAATTATTTTTCCAATAGGTGTTGTCTCTCTGACATAATAGATATGATTGACACTTGCGATAATAAATCATTTTAGGTTCTACTTTAAGATTTCATGTTAAAATGTTTACAGTTTTATGTACAATGAAGAAATGAATAACGCCAAAGAAATTAGATTGTTTCTCAATGTGAGATTACCAGTATGAAAGTATAGGAGCTAAAGCCACAAACAGCACTCAACCATCTATCAAATACTAAATACTCATTCATCGATTTCATTCATTTCGTAAGTATCTATAAAGCCCTTATTATGTGCCAGCCACTGGAGATACAATGCTGAGCAAAAAATTTAAGACTTGGTCACTGCCTTCATGGAGCTGAAAGTCCGTATGATAAGTCAGAATGTTAGGATGGCTCCAGAAATTCTCATCTCTTGGAAACACTTCCAGTCCCTTTGCTAGACCCTCCCTCTAAGTGTGAGTGGAACCTGAGCTGCTTCTAGCCAACAGAGGTGATGGGAGAGTCACTCCCTTGATTACTTCCTATTATATAAGCCTCCATCACAAACAACAGAAGAGAGCCTAAGCCAGAGATTTCCCTGCAGGCCTTGAAGAAGCAAACAGTCATGTTATGGAACTATACATGGCAAGGACCTGAGAGTGGCCTCCTGGAGCTGAGAGCGGTCCCAGTCAGCAAGTAGCAAAAAGTGGGACCTCGGTCATATAGCCCCAAGAAAATGAATTCTGCTGACAATTTCAAGGGAGCTTGGAAAGAGACCGTTACCTAGTCCAGCCTCCAGATAAAGATAGAGCCAACTGATGTCTTAATTTCATCCCTTTGAGACCCTCAACAGAAAACCCAGCTGAAGCCATGATTCCTGACCCGCTGAGAAATGATAAATTTATCTTGTTTTAAAGCCACTATGTTTGCTATAATGCTTGCAGCAATAGAAATGAAAATATATAATGTAGGAAAACAGCCCAAACTCCTTCACCTTCATATACAATAGTTATGGCTCTTTACAACCCAGTTGCACTCACCTTCCCCTTCTCCCAGCATGCAACTCCCAGGACTACTCGGTGTTCCAGCCTTTACTTATGACACTCCCCTTGTTTGAGATGTGCCCTCATCATCCAAACTCTGTTCTAAGTCCAACTCAAATATTTCATCCTGTTTTAAACTGTTTTTAAAAGCACTTTATTTCTACCCTCGGTTTCATTAATACTGAGACTAACCTATACCACTTTGCTACTATATTCTATGTTCAAGTCTTCTGACATTAAACAAAGTTGAATGCCTACTACCTGTTTAATGGAATTTTAACCTACCCTAAAGAGAACCAAAGCCCAAATTAAAATAAAACAAGTTGCATTTCCTTAAACCTAGCCTGATGAAGCCTGTCCACTCTTCTTCACCTGGCTACCTCTACTCATTCTTCGAAATCCAGCTCAATGGTCGATCTTCCAAGAAACCTCCCTAATGAAACCCTTAGACCAGGTTAGCTGCTTTCCTCTTTGTGGTCCACTGGCCTTTGTCATTGCTATTTCTTCCAAATAATTAATCCAGCCTATTAGGAGTAGGTGCTATGTATTTGTTGAATTTATTCATTTAGCCAATATTTATTGAATACCTACTATGCACCACTGTTCTAGATGCAGAGAATACAGCAGAAAACAAAGCAGAGAGTCCTGCCCTCATGGAGTTCACATCTTAATGTGGGAGACAGATGAAATAGAAAAGTATACTATACATACATATAGTTAAAGGTGCTTTTGGGAAAAATAGTGCAGGAAACAGCAATAGAGCATGCTAGGTGGCTGGGCCCACGGTTGAAAATGTAAACAAAGTAGTCAAGAAATGCTTTACAAAAAGGTGACATTTGAGTTATCACTTAAAGGAGGTGAGTTGAACAAGCCATATGGACTCCTGAGTGAAGTGCCTCACTGAGCAGAGGGAGTGTGCCTGGTACTGTTCAAGGGGCAGCAAGGAGTCCAACAAGGGAGCAAGCAGGAGAAGATGACATCTGGAAGAGTGAAACAAATCGTGCAGAGCCTTGGAGGGCATTCTAAGGATTCTGCTTTTACTCCAAGTAAAATGGAGAATCACTGGAGGATTATGGGCAGAGCAGTAGTATGACCTCACATTTCAAAAGGATCTCTCTGGCTGCTATGTTAAGGATAAAAGAAATGAATGAACGAGCGAACAAATGAACTAATCACACTGTTTCTTATTAAAATAATGATCTGTTTATATGCTGGTTTTCTCCTCTCAACTATATAAGCCGCTTCAGGATACTATTTTATTCATCACAATGCTGGCAGTTTCTAGCAGAATGTGGCTGGCTTCCAGTAAGAGTTCAGTGGGGAATGAATAGATAAATAAATGAATCTTTCTTATTCCCAAAGGGTCATGCCATGATTCCCTGCCCCCCACCAAAAAAGGCTCCTCATCCATGGTGCAGGTTCAGTAAGAAGGTCTCCCACCACAGTCTAACATTTATTTTCCTTTTATTGTCTCCTTGATGTCTGAAGTTTTGCTTAAACAAATAGAAGAATTTAGTAGAGATACGTTTCTGTTTACCTAGCCCTCAGGTCGACCACATCATCAGTTAAGGGAGGCAACACAGTCTATTGCAATCATCTCTCAGGAAACCTGAATTCCAATTCCATAATTACCAGAGACCTAATTTTATAATCTTGGACAAGTCACTTCTTTAAACCTATTTTACACATCAGTCCAATTTTTGCATCTCTTAAATGGGCAGGTTGAACTATAAAAGGGGTCTTTTCAGCTCTCAAATTCTATTCCAACCACAAGTGAAGGGAGGAAGGGAAGGAGGCAGCTTTCCCTGGGGGTTTACACTGAGTCCCAATGGAAAGTTCTGTGTGTTTTGCTGCATACTGTTTTCCCACAGAGGTGAGAAAAATTCCATTGCATGTTTTACTTATATCACTGCACCATGGTTAGATGTACAAAGAAAACTTTTTTTGACAAAGAAAATTTTAATAGTATCAAGATTTTGGTAGCAAACCCTCTACAAAGATAAATCATGCTGATTAACTTAAACGGATATTATCACTACCTATATTTTTAATGCTACTATGCATAGAAACTGGTTCCTGAAACTCCAAGAGCTAAAGTTAATAAACATATCTGGAATTTCAGGTTATTCCCTGGTCTAAGATGAATCTTGAAGACGGTAAGTTAGATGATTGGAAGAAGGGTCAGAGAGACAAACTTGTCTCTCCCAATCAGAAGAGACAGCATGAGACAAGGCTTTAAAACAAGAAACAGCAGAACATGTATTTAGTAACTAAAACTACATGAAACTCAGAGCTGCTGCTGAGATTAGCATTTCAGAGAGACAGGGCAGGCAGCTGCAGAGAAGATTAATCTGATGGACAAGACACAAGATTAGCTATAAACTGTGCTAACAACTCGGGGAGAGATGATGAAATCTTAAGGCAGCGAACAAATAGGTCTGGCAACTTAAGATAGAGTTAAGAAATATTCTGGAGATAAAATTGGTAGAAATCGGTGACTGAGTGAATGTGGAGGACTGAAGAGATGGGGAAAGTTTATGACTTGCATGATAGTGCCAACAAATGGAACTGTGGACTGAAAAGAAGGAAGCATAAGAGGCAGAGTGGAAATGAGGAATCATATTGCAGACACAGTGAGCTTGAGATACTTGTTGATTCCCCAAGTAGAGACCCATCAGGATGCAAACTGATGGCCCAGCAGAACGGTCTGAGCAAATCCGGGAGACAACAGCATACGCGACACAGGAAGGATTCCAAACCCAAAGCCTAGGAGAAAGATCTGAGCCAATCTGGAAGACATTAACATATAAATGACAGATGATGCCACGGATGTGAATGAGTTTACCAGGGAGAATAGGTAAGGAAGGAGGGACCGTAATCTAAGGACAAAACCCAAAGAAGAGCAGTAGTTAATGGACTGGCTGAGAAAAAGAAACCTAAGACGCTGTGAAAACCAAGTCAATCTTTGACTGAATTCTAAAGTTATAATCTATTCTGTGGAATTTCACAAATTTCTAAGCAGTCACTTTTTTCACTGGCTTTTCCCTTTCCCCCCACTTCCTAAAGATAGTCCAACTACTGGATTGTGAAGTCAACTAACATCCAT